CAACCCCCACCCCCAACACACACTTACTTTTTGTCAAGTTGTGTTAACTGTGTAGAAGCTTCTCTTAATTTAGGTTGGGTCTCCTGATAACCAGTCACTGCTCTGTATTGCTTATTAGTTTTTCTCACTTAATTATAGAAAGTTTTTAAAGGAAATTTCATTTTAATAATGCCTTCATAATTACCTTTATTTTCAATGCTTCCATTTATTTTTGTGGATGGGAATGTTTTGTTTCCTGAATTTAAAGATCATCCTCTGAAGAGGGGCTGTGTTATGTTCACTGAAAGACTGGCCACTAGCTAGTCTGTTGTTAGTGTGTATAGCAATTCTATATGAAATAAAGTCATTGTTTTAAAGACACATTACTATGCCTTTGCTCTTAAAATACACATTTCTGCTAAAGAATCTAAAGCCCAATGTTAGAGCCTCTTGCACATTAGGAAAACGTAATATGGTTACCCTAGCACAATGCTGCCCTGAAGCTCTTTTAACTGGCTATAGAAAGATCACCCCAATGTTATGAGATCCTCAGTGCAGAATTCCCTTAACTCATCAATCAGCATTTTGTCTTCTTTTTTTTTTCTGTAGCAACCTGTTCCTTTCTTTTGTTTGTTTTGGACACCACATTCCAGCTACTAATGGGCTGTGAAAGAACCCCTACCAGGAAACTCTTGTCTCTGACAGGTTTTGTATTTGCAAAGCTGAGTCCTGTTCTTAGCAGAGGCAAAGTATTTTGGGTTACATACCTTAATGTGAAGGGCATAGAAGTAATCAGTATTCTGGGGAAGTCAGTTAGCACGACTACCCAAAATTCATATAGTGTGTAAAGATTAAACCCATAAGTGTGTAATGTATGCTAATGTGGTGTGTACTATGCTAAGATATATGCTAGCTAAGACTGAGCTGCACTGAGTCCTCCTCATGCTGGGCCAAGGACTATGCACTGTTTGTACATTACATTATGCATTGTGCCACATGGATTAACTTTTAACAGAGAATGTGATATGGGTCAACTCAGGTAGGTTTGTATGTAACTGTGGATTATTGTTTTCACCACTTCCAAAGAATTTTGTTCATTATTAAATATGGTCCTGATAGTGCAAAGAGTTGTGCACACCTCCAAAAGAAAGCTCCCAGGTATGGAGTCACTTGTGTAAATGTTTGTCTTTTACATCCTGAATTTGTTGTAAGTGGTTTTAACAACTCAGACAGCAATTGTGGATTCGAAAATAAATTTAATTGCATCTTCTTTGTATTTCATTGCTGATCCCTTCAAGTGAGGGCGGTGATGTGGTTCTTTAAGGAACTGCAACAAAAAATTGATCACATGATTACAGGATGTTAAAGTGTTGTTTCACCTGTAGTCACCTCCCTTTTAAAAATATGTTGATTGTACACATGGGCCTGGATCACAGATTTCAGAACTCAACTTTGCCAAAATTTGGGGATGATCTGATATGGGATTTTGGCATAACCTAATCCCTATTTTTTTCAGTTTCAGTATCTGTTGACAAAGAGGATCTCAGAGAAGAGAGGAAGATGAATAATAAACATGAGGGCATCATATATCTTGGAAAGACAACTTCAGCTGTGTGGGAAAGTGTAGTCAAAGACAGCCTCTTCCTCAAAGAGTTTACAGTCTAAATAGATAAGAGAATTCACAACGAGCTGAAATGACTTGTCTAAAGTCACGCAGCGTAGTCATGATTGAGCAGATTTGAACATAGGTCTCCCCTCCCCAGAGCATAGATTACATCACAGTTCATAAACCTAGAGGAGGGGTGGGGCACCTCAGGCCTAGGGGTTGGATATGGCCCTTGGCTTGCCTGGGTCCAGGACGGCATTGGTGCACCTGTGTGGTGCTCCAGCTCCCCTGCTGCTCCACCATGGGGCTGGAGCACACAAAATCTACTAGCCTAGGCCCCCCTAGGAGAGGGGAATGTGGGGAGTGTCTTTCTGCTTTTCAGTCAGGGGCCATGTCAGTGAGGTGTGGATTTGGGAGTTTTTTGGGAGGGAGTTGCTTTTCACCTTTGTGTAGCACCCGGCTGATTTTTCTATGGGTAAGTGGCCCTGGAGCCAAAAAAGTTTCCCCACCCCTGACTTAGAGGATAGTGCTCTATTTTTTAAAAGAAGAAAATATGCCTACCCATCTCAGCACATCTCCCTATCTGGGCACAGTGGCTCCATGATTTCCTCATCTGCCACTGTCAAGATGATGGCACATAGGATTTTAAGGGCAAAATATGCTTATTCTTCACATATGTTATGGTCCACCGTATGGTCAAAAGTGGCTAAACACATTTTAACTTGGGATTATTTAACCTAATGAACAATTTATGACCTACTGTTTCAATGCAGCTGCGGTGAATTAGTACCCTGTCAGCATCTTAACATTCCTGACTCTATATTTGATACAGTTTCACAAGAGTAGTTACTTTTCCAAAATGAATAATATGGCTATTTGCACTCTCCCACTCCCAACTGCCTCTGCCAAAGATCACAGAAACGCAAGCTCAAGCACCATAACAATCTTAAAATACAATTCTAAAGAGCCCCATTTTGATTGGAAAAAGTGTTTATTAATTACAAGAGTACTAAACCCACAAATACTACATATATTTATCACTACATATATTTATCACTATCCTTTTACTAGGATAAACCATCATTGTTTTATTTTTTGAAGTTCCATCACTGTACACTGTTTTTTATGTTTCCCTGGTCTCAGGCAGACTAAACAAATAATTCTCTTGCTGTCCTATTGAGGCCTTGAACATTCCTGACTAAATCTCGTTCAATTCTGAGAGTCCCTAGAGAAAATGTTTCTGGAATTGTTGTATACTGTGGATATACAAGGTGGGGAGAATGGGAAATGATCCAGTTACCAGTAGACCCAGCCATGCTAAAACTTGCAGTGACACTGTTTTTGAGAGTTTCATCAAATCGGTGAGATCAGAAGGATTAGATATTTTAATGGGTAAAGGGCAATTTTAATATATACACACAACACAATGGAGAAAACATTTACAGGGTAATAACTGAAATTTACAGACAGGTAAAGTAAAAAACCACTCCTGGAGAACTTCTAGAGTCTTAAAGAAATTTACTTTGCAAATTTTGAGAAGTGCTGTTGACAATTTGTGTTTTTATTGGTTATAAAGCTTTAACTTTTTGAAGCTCAAAATCTGTCTCTCAATAATTATCCACATTCCCACATTTTCTGAGCTCCCTCATACTATCCCACAACCATGAAATGTTAGATTTTTAATCTGTCCAAGTTATACTAAATAGATCTAATTCTGCCAAATCTACAAATAGGCCAAGGTTGTCTGAGCCCCATCATAATATCCCACAACCACAAAATTTTCGATCTATAAAAAGCAAAGTGTTAATATCAATGATTACTTTTGACGGACCAAAGTTATATTAAATAGGTCTAATTCTGCCAAATCTACACATAAGCCAAGGTTTTTATGAACATCAGGAGTGAGCTATCTGTACTCCCTTTGCAGTGGTGGTTGCCAGGTAGAAATACATTTGTAGGGTTGCATTGACAAGGTTGCACTTCTGCCTGTTCTATGAGGGTATGTCTACACACAATTTTTATTTCAGGAGAAGAATGCAAATAGTGCTGCACATTTGTATACTTCCTCCGGGTTTTTTTCCGGAAGATGCTCTTCCGGTATTTACCTGTGTCTACATGTGGCCAAATTTTGAAATAAACCCCTATTTCAAAAGACCCTTATTTCCCCTACAATGAGGTTTACAGGAGTCTTTTGAAATAGGGGTTTATTTCAAAATTTGGCCACATGTAGACATGGGTAAATACCAGAAGAGTGTCTTCCGAAACCCCCCTCCCTCGGAGGAACTACGCAAATGCACAGCACTATTTGCATCCTTCTCCCGAAATAAAAACTGTGTGTAGACATACGTGTCTCTCTTTCTCTCAGACACCTCCCCCCCCCCCGCATTTTAACCTCCTCTCCACACCAGTAATTTAGGGCCCAGATATGAATTACTCTTGCAGCCACAACACCTATTGGGGTTACAGCAACAGGGAGAGGGGAGGAAAAAACAGATTCTGGGCCACTATTCCCACCCCCACCATGCCCTGCAGGTGGGGAGTGGAAGGAGCCTTGACACTATAACAGTAGAAGATTATTTTATCTTCGGAGCTAGGGGTGCCTTAGGCTATGCCTACACTTCTGACGGTGTGTATAGTACATGTGCTACATCTCCATCTAGCATAGGGCTAAAAACAATGGAGATGGCAAAGTACTGTCTAGGCTAGTAGAGGGCAGAACCTTCAGCCCCTTCAAGTACAGGGCTCTCTGTCTACCCAAGCAGGGCTTCCCCTGTCTACACTGCTATTTTTAGATGTGTAGTGAGGCACTGTCTCCCCATTGACTGGAACAGATTGGAAAAGGATAGTTTACTTTCACACACTTAAGGTTATGGCTTACTTCTTGAATAGTAAACTTCACAAATATCTGCTTAGATTATCAGTTATTAAAGCAAATTCTACCTGGCTTTTCCAAGCAATAAATACAGTGCAAAACAGAACAGATAGGAGGAACTCATCCAAATGAAAATAATTTTAAAAGAAAGTTTTTATTTTCCAAGATGCTATTCAAGATTTTGTCATTTTTATCCTCAATATCCCTGCGGGTTAGAGATTGCTTTCCTGTCAGGCTGAAGGCAAGTGATGGAATTTTTGGTGCAACTGTGATTGACAAGACCATGATGTCCTCGCAGACAAAGTGGGTTTTATTAATATAATTACTCTGGGAAAATTGCAGTGGGATAGCTTCCTAGTAGAGTTGCTGAACTGAAAATGCCTTTTGAAGACAAGGATGTTGGTCGCTTCAAATCCTTTCTCCTTGTATTTTTCATCTGTATTCCCCTTTGGGGGGAGGGGAGAGAAAGGCTTCTATTATTTCCTATGCTGGTGTCTGATTTTTGCCATTGAAATATCCCAGCAATGCCAGGAGGCTGGAATGCCCTGGGAGGGTAAGAATAGCCCACAATGGTTGAGATTACTCCTGTTGCCTTTTGTCTACTTGCAGTTGTCAGGACAGGGGACCCCAGAGGTAAGTGCAGCGAATAGATCTGTGAAGCCAGAACGTTTGCAAAATCAACTTTGCTTCCTAGGAAAGGTTTGCTTCCAATTTGCAAAAGTCAGCAGCCCTGTTTAGCCCTTTCATCAACATAATTCATCAATAATGCTGTTAGTGGTTGAGAATTTTCCCCCTAAATATTTATTTTCTTCTTTCTCTGTCTAGGTCTAATTTGCTTTGATAATGCCAGAATTCTTCTAAAGCCTTCAGAAGCTGAAAGTATAAACAACTAGTTCCAAGATGGAGCGCTGGGACTCACTGGGGTTTTTGATTATCACTCTCAACTACAATGTTACGATGGCAGGTAAGTATCTTTGAAAGGTGTGGGGTTTTTTTTAAGAGTTTCATACCCATAAATCATCGTAGTTTCTTCCATGTAAATCAGCTTTCATTTCCAGCCACCAGTCTGACAGGTGCCCTCAAAAAGAAGAGATCATTCTTTGCTGTGGGATATGAGAGCTGTTAATGTCTGTTTTTTTTTAACTAGATTCCCACTTCATCTGCTATGAATATTTTCTAAATGTTAGAAAAAGCATGTGGCTAGGGGCTTTCAAATCTGACTATTCTTACTCACCAAGTCTCTTTCCAGCTCTACTGAGAGCTGTGATGAAACACTCAAAGCTCAAGGCATGTGTAAAAGTATGGTGTTCCATTATATGACACAGCCTGCCTTACCAGTGAGATGGATAATATAGGGGGAGGTAAAAAAAACTGTTGCCTATAAACTATTTAGTGATTAAACAGTCTTGCTACTCATAAGGTGGATTTTGAAAGTTTATGACATTCAAGTGCATATTAAAAAAATGTTTATTTTCTCAGACAGTAACCTCAGTCTTTTTTTTCTTTTAAATAAGATTTTGTCACTGATTCGCTATGTAATTTTGAGCACGTGATTCAGAGCCAGATCCAAAGACCACTGAAGACAATTGACTTTTATGGACTTTGGCCTTTACAACTTGGTTCTGTAAATATTTATTACAGTGCATTGCTCCGACAGGGAGTAATCCTGCTAACTCTCAATGAAATAACTCGCTGTAATATCTGTCAGTAGGACTAAGCCCTTAGGGAAAATGATGCACAGTTATCTGTAAAAAGCTTATCCCTTCCACCAAAAAGTTACTCCAATAAGAGAGGTAAGCTCACTCACCTTGTCTCTGTAGCATTAATCTACCTCCCAGGGAACGAGTGATTTTTAAGCAGAACTCCCTCACATATACATTCTAATTAAAAACTGATCGCATAACACATCCCAGGAGGTTGAAATGCTTTATTTGTGAATGGTTTTGAAACACTGATATCCTTGTATAAAAAGTACAATAAAAGTACAGAATATTATTATGAGGTATTTTTCTCCACCACAATACGCAACTGAAAACAAGAATGCCATCAGAACTAGAGTGTGGTTAGGTAACATATTGTTTAGTTGCTTATGGGGGGAGGGTCAGGGTTCAACATGATCATCTGTTCTGCAGTCTCATGGAGCTACCATACATTCTTGCCTGGCTTCACATTTCTGAGAGCAGTGCTATTGTTATTCCATAGGTATAATGCTGGCCACAAGAGAGGTATGTGGCTCATCTCAAATGCATGGCAATAAAATACCCCAAAGTTTTACAAGCATTTAAATGTTTGATTCTTATAAATGATATAAAAAGTACTTAGTTTGTTGGCAAATAGGAGAGGCTATAGTCTAAGACTGCATGTAGGCATACATCATACACTCTACAGAAAATTATTAGGATTTTGCTTTTAAAGAGTTATTTTAAAAAATATTATCTGGGGTTATATTATCAACTCTCTGCCTGTAAAACTAATGTGTGTTTATGTCTGAGAGAGCCACTCAGTACTTCATTTTTCTAGTACTGTTCACAATCATTAATTCAGACCCACTCCTGCTTCTACTGGTGTTGAAGGTTTTTACCATTGCATTTATCTGGCAGTAGAATTGGTCCTGACCTTTATCTTACAGTAATGTAGAAAGTATGCATTACATCACTCAACCTCTCTCCCTCTTTTTCTTTTAACTGGGAAATTAAGGAAGAGAAATGATTAAATTAAATGATTTTCCAAAGGCCATAGGTAGTCAGTGGTGGAGCCAGGATTAAAACTCAGGATGTCTGGGTTTCAAACTCAATCTACCTGCATATATTAATTGGTTTAGCGATAGCACTGTGTTTCAATAACCATGAAAGCTGAAAAGTTCCTTGTAGTTTCAAGTCCTCTTTTCTTTAAAATGAGTAGTGCTGTGGCACCTAAAACATATAGTATTGAGCTTTTCATGAGAAGACGCACTTCATCAAATGAGTTGTGGGTCCTACCGATGAAAGCTCATGATACTGTATATTTCTTTTACTCTCTCAGCCCTGGTCTACACTAGGGAGTTATTTCGAAAAAAACTCCCCTTATTTGAAATAGCAAGCAAAGCATCCACCCTGTCAAGTCCATTATTTCAAAATAAGGAGCTGGTTATTTCAAAATAATAACTCCTGCTTTCCTTGGGGAATAAGCTTATTTCGAAATAGTTATTTTGGGTGCATCTCCACAGCACCCTAAACACGCAATAAGATACACAATATATACTATGCAAATTGCGTATGTTATTTTGAATCTAGTTTACCCCCGTCTGCACAGCGCCAGATTTCAAAATATTCCTCATGCAATGAGGTTTAACAGGATGGAGAAATAATGCACCCGTTATATCAAAAAATATTTTGAAATAAAAGGCCGCTTGTGTAGATGTGGGGTAGCTATTTCGGACACCTCCAATATTCCAAAATAGCCGTGCAGTGTAGACATACCCTTTGGGAGTTATTACTTTGAAATGAAATAATTTCCCAGTGTAGATGTGCCCTAAAGTGCCACAGGACTGCTTGTTGCTTACAACTAACATGGCTACCCCTGTGAGATTAATTTTTTTGGTTTGTTTTTTTGTTTGCAAAATATTCTGTATTGTGTGGAATTTTTCCATGGTGAGTGATTGTCTGAAGATTATTTTACAATTATAGTACAGGTTGAACCTCTCTAGTCCAGCACTCTCTGGACGTGACTGGTGTTGTGTCATGGCTCCTTCCCCACTCTGGCACGATAAATGCAGAAGTGGGGGCCAGCAGGTGTACCCCAAAGCCTTATCTACCAGGCTTTGGTATAAAACTTCCCCCAAAATCTTAAAACCCTAGATTTTGGGAATAAAACTTCTGCTGCCACCATCCAAATATTAATAACGAGATTAGGGGAAAGATCATTTGGGAAATCTCACCCCTATTATAAAAATCAGGACACACAAGTAACCAATGCCAGGTTAATAAAAAGAAAGAAGAAAACTTTTATTATTACAGCAATATTCCTGTTGAAAGAGTAAGGATCAGATGGAAAGGTAACAAAATATACTCATGGAGGAATTACACCATGGGCTAGATCTTAGTTAAAAAGAAAAGCCAAACATCTCTTAAGCAGTGCCAGATATCAGATCCCATACCCAACCCTTAAAACAATAAAGCCTAAGGAAACTACCTAAACTTTACCCTACTTACAGAAAGTGAAGAATTGTTTCTTGGAGAGAGAGAGACATGCTTGTCCCTCCCTGTAGCTTCAGAGGACTCACCCCGAGAGACCAAAGAGGACAAAAAGTCACATTCCTTTGTCCCAGTTTGAAAGTCCCCACCTGGCTAGGTGTAGTTAACTCCTTAATCCCCAGGCTGCTGGCTAACCCTTATAATCATGACATGTTGAACCAGAGAATTTTCTGAGCCATGGGAGGCCAATATTGTCTAGTAGCATTACCAATATTTCCACTGCTTCCCAGGTTCTTAGAAGACATTTAGGGGTAAATTAGAGCTAAATAATGACACAGAACACTGAGAGCCCGGACAGTCACTCTCTGGTGACTGTAAACAAACTTTATGAGACCATGGGAGACTTGGCCACACCCATGATAAGTGGACATCTGGCTAAATAATATCATGTTCAGGAGTGGCCTGAGGCCAGCTGCGGCAGCTGGCGCCCCAGGTCAGCGGCGCAATTAGCGCCCCCGCTTGTACGGCCGTCAATGGCCCTGACGCCATCACTGAGTGCCCCGGCGCCCCGTGACATCATCATCGGGTGCCCAGGTGAGCGGTGCTCTAGGCAACTGCTTAGTTCTCCTAAGCTCACGGGCCGCCCCTGATCATGCTGGACCATGACTGCTGCTGCACAAGAGAGATTCAACCTGTAAAAATTCCTGAGGCTTTTCCGTATTAGAAAAAAACAAAATCTTTGTACATTCTAATTGTCCCCTCCGCCCTTTTTTTTATAAACCAACAGAGCTCCACAGACCTGGGAAAGGTGGTTTTTGGGTTTGGGTTTTTTTTAAATGTAATCCTTTGTAGAGGAGTGTTTATGTACATGTTACTTGGCAAAGAGCTAACTCCTACAGAGCAAGGAGTATGAGGGGAAAGTAAATAAATAAAAAAGAGATACTCCAAACAATTGATCCTGAGACAGTATTACTAAGGGTTTTAATGTTATAAGGTATAATTAAGGCTCTGATCCAAAGCCTACTGTAGTCAATGGAAAGATGTCAATTGTGTTTTGTTCATAAATATGGCACACACTGGAAGATTACATCATGAATCTTTTACTTTCTAGATTTCATTTTCTGTGCTCTGAGTCTATTACCATTTCTTCTTCTTCTCTAGGAAAGATGTGGCTTACATTAGTAATCTTGCTGAGAATGTTGGTGATAGTGCTAGCAGGATACCCCCTCTACCAAGATGAACAAGAACGATTCATCTGTAATACCTTGCAACCAGGGTGCTCTAATGTGTGCTATGATATTTTCTCTCCTGTCTCTCACTTTCGATTCTGGCTCATTCAGACAGTGTCTGTTCTGCTACCTTATACTGTGTTCAGCGTCTATGTTCTGCACAAGGTAGCCATGCATGTTGTCACCGCACATTGTTCGCCATGTAGAGATGTAGGAATCAAGACCTCAGGTGGCCATGCAGCCTTGAATGAACCCTGCAAATATACTTCAGTCACTAGCCCAGCCTGCACAACAGATCATCTGAGTATACCTGATTTTTCTAGGGCATATACTGTTCATCTTTTTCTGAGAACACTGGCAGAGGCTGGTTTTGGAGCTGGGCAGTATTATCTCTTTGGATTTTTTGTTCCTAAGCGCTTTTCCTGTTACCAGTCTCCTTGTACCAGCACAGTTGATTGCTACATTTCCAGGCCTACTGAGAAATCCATCATGATGATCTTTATTTGGGGGGTCAGTGGCCTCTCTTTTCTACTTAGCCTTATTGATCTAGCCTTTGCTATCCAAAGAATGGCAGTAAGAAATGGACAAAAGAAACTGACGGAAAGTCTCCATGCAGAGGATGAGCATAATTCAGATCTACCTCTAGCTGGGAGGCTGAAGGATTCTCCACCATCTCCAGAGGACAGAGGCCATCTAGTGATACATGACGGTCATACCAATGAAGTGTCCTGTTCACTTCACTCTGAAGATGAAGAAGAGCTTCAGGTGGAAGAGAAGATTATCTCCCAGCAAACTGCCCTCTCTAACCTCAACAGTAATAGCAATAAGCCCTGTATAACAAAAAACATTGCTGTTAATCAAGGCAGTAATGAAGCATCCCAGTGTATAAGTGACCAGCAGGGAATTCCAAACAGGCAGACAAGAAATGGGCAACAGCAAGCCTTCACCAAAGAGGCCCAAGTCAAGTCTCATCTTGGAGTTTACTCTTCTGTAAGTCAGAGCAAGCTTTTAGGGCATTATTCTTCAGCTGAGCTAAGAGCTTCTGATGGGCAATCAAGCTGTAACAGTGCTGGCTACTTGAGATCCAAAAAATCTGAATGGGTGTGAAGAGCAGTGACTGAGCATTGCATTTACTGTTCTGGAACGATACCCATGTCACAGCCTCGCTGTCATCTAGTTTCAAAAGAAAACCTCGGTATAGGTTAAATTCCTTGTTTTGCAAATAAAAACATCCTTTTACAAACATCCCCCTGGCTGAATGAAAAACAGGAAGCTGAACTTGCTGTGACTATGGAAGGGACTGTATGGAAATTTTTGATGACCCCTTCTGGCAGATTTTAGATGGTGAATTTTGCTGTTTGGAATGTCTGATGTTGTGTGTTAGCAATCTAATACCACCACATAATTATATTGATGTGGCTTCTAACTAACTCTTTTCAGACATATAATGATTTCATTATTGTTATTATCAAGCATAATATTTTTATATTAGTTTGGCTTGTTTAGCTTTTCGCGTGTGATGGTGATGTGTTTTATCATTTCCTGGGTAGGAACCACATTAATTATTGAATTGATAACAGATAGAAAAACATTAAATATTTAGCTCCCCAGTCCCTGAAGTCTTTTTAATGGGATCTGTGTTGATTACACTGTAATACCACAAAAATATTAGGACAAAGAAACCTTTTGTAAGTCACTGTATTTTATCAGCTGTGAGAAGGAATGTGGGGAACGAACGTTGGTTAAATGTATCTTGCATAGCTCTCAAACTGATACATGGATAGACAGGTGGATAAATAATGCAGATAAGTGGCAGAACTCCAGAGCTTGCTTATTTGTCTTTATAACTATCTATTTTTAAACTACCAGAGTCTCTAGCATACATTGGAAAGAGCCAGATTGTGGCTAAACGCAACAATAAAGTTAATAGTCCTCTTCCTCCATTTGCTCAATGGTTTGTAGTTATTAAGCTTTGACCTACACTAATAATACTATCCCTTAATTTCAGGTCAGAGTACCCATAGCGTGAGCCCATAAACATATAGTGGATGTGGAGTTCACTGGACAATGGAACTTTCAGACCTTCTGTTTAACGTGACTATAAAACTGCCAATACATTCTTAGTAATGTCAGTCTGACTCAAGCCTACTTCTGACTCAGGTGTGCTAAGAAACTGTAATTGGTGTAGATGCTCGGTGCTGGAGTACACTACAGCACTAAGGTACCAGTAACATGCCAGGTAGACGGCAGCTTAGAGGCAAACACTGAAGGTTAGAAGCAAAAACTAAACCAACTAAGACACTTCACTCCTCTGGTGCAGTCTAGCCCTATCGGAGGAGGGACAGGTAGGACTGAGGTTCAGGGCTTCCCATAGCCCAGATTTACTCTTCTGGGGTTCCAGGGTTAATGGATTTTGTGGACCCCCTAGGCTCTGGGGTTGGGACAAAAATGCAGGGTTCAGTGTGCAAGACTTGGCTGCCCAGGAGAGGAATAGGTGTGCAGGATCTGGGTGGGAGTTAGGGGGCAGGAGCAAGTTGGGAGTAGGGTGTCTGCACAGGGAAGGGAGCAAGAGCAAGGGAAAGTGCAGGAACAAGGGTGGGTGAAGACATAGACTGGGGGTCTGGTCAGGGAGGGTGCAAGAGTGGGCTGGGGGCAAGGGTGTCTGGCCAGGGGGAGGGTGCAGAAGCAGGGGAGGGTGCAGGAGCAGGCTGGGGGTATGTGTCTGGACAAGGGGAAGGGTGCAGGAGCAGGCTTGGGAGATGCTGGGTTTTGGCAGGGGTGTGTGTGAGAAGGCTGAGGGTATAGAGGTCTGGGCATGAGGGGAGTGGGGGGCACTTATTTGCCTTCATGCCCCACTTCACTCCCTGGAACGGCCTCCCACTACTCCCATTGGACAGATTCCAGCCAATGGGAGCAGCAGGGCAAGCACGCCCATGCGCTGCTGTTCCTGCAGCCAGGTGAGGTGTAGTAGCACTTCTTCCCCATGAGCCAGATCTCGCAGCGAGGCTCAGGGCTTTCACACACACACACCCTCAGCCAGTGGGAAGCTGGTGCTCCAACCTAGCGGGGGGAAAGGGGGAGGCTGGAGCGCTAGTGCAGACTCCCTGCTGTGGGGGGCTGAGCTCGAGCCATGGACCACCTGGAAGGCAGCCATGGACTGCAACACTGTTCTAGGTATTTAAACTGTTCTCTGCTGCAGTCATGGCTCATTAGATGTGGATTAATGGGGTACGAGCTATGACAGAAGCAAGAAACAGCAAGCAAAGTAAAGCAGCCTGAAAAGGAGAAACCAAAGTATTCAACTATCTTAGGGAGAAGAAGGGAACAGTATATTCTACTGATGATTAGGCTGGTCAGATGATGAGTGAGTCCATGTCCACTGAACAACATTTCTACCCTCCCTAGGATATCTGGAAGTCAGGTAATGACTTTTGGACAGGAAGTTAAATCAGACCCTATTGGAACAAATACTGTTGGAACATGCCTTGGAAATGGAACAGTGAAATATCTAGATCTACTGCTGCTCTTCCCTTTTTGGCTTATTTTAGAGTTTTCCTTTGTGTTGGGAAAACTCTGCCACTGACCAAATACTAAGCTTGCTGACTCTCCTTCAAATCCATTCTTTTGCAAAGCCTTTCTAAAGATGGGTTCAAGCCAGAATATAGGACACACTCCTCTTTAAGTGTGGGGGAAGTTCAGATCTAGCACTCATAGGGTGCGTGAGATACAGGTCACAAGGCAACATCTTGCTACTCCTAGTTTACTTCATGGAGCTGAACATTAGCTGTGTTGTCTGCTCATCAGTCAGTCCCATGTGCTATAGAATATAGGCAGCTTAGTGCTGACTGAAAATTGTGTGGTGACAAATTGATTCCCACCCCCCAGGAAGCTCAATATCTCCCCTTTTGTCCTAGCATTGGCTGGAGCATGTCTGGTTACCTTCTTACTCCATTTTAATAGAAAACTGCTTCACACTATTCTCTGTGAGTGAGACCATAGACCATAGGCTGGTGACTGTGTAATTACCCATAGCAGCACTTGTCCTCCATGTCGCTCCAGTTTCAGAGTAGGAAGTTATTGAATTAACAGATGCATAGAGTTCCTTAAGGAACTATAGCAAACTATTAAAATTGTTTCTCCTTTGTGGTAATTATTGCAATGATCATCTGATCAGAGAAAGGGGATATTAAATTATGCATTTGATTTATATGCCTTGATTAGTTATTTGGTGCATCTGTTGTCTTTGGATAATGTAACCATCAAAATATTATGTATAAAATAAGGGCTGGGAATTATGAGAGGCTATTCTTTTATTTCTGTCTTCTGCACTATACTTGATTTTGTAGTCTGATCTGATACAAAATAAAGAAGTAGTTTTACAGTGTAATAGTCTCATGTTTAATTGAATTTCTAGCAGTGTTCTGGAGCATCTGTTCCAAACTGTAATTAACTCTTTTTCTGTCTAATGTGTACAAAGATACTGATTCTAGAAACTGGTTTAGCAGTGAAAGAGCCTGATAATTTATTGGTTGTATTTTTATACTACTACTAATACAGTATTCATATGATTATCTCCATACTACACATTCCATTTTAATGTCCCCTTCCTCTACCAGGATGCCTGCTTCATTTTTTTCTCCCCTCCCCCACCTCTGTTTCTTGCATGGTGTTCCATCTATAGGCATGGAATCAATTCTCAAGCCAGCTTTACTAGAAATAGTGATTTTTTTTAAAAGTACAGATACTAATGTAATGAATCCATCCACACTGTATAACTGCATGGTCTCGTTATTGTAATATTATCCTTCCTCCTCACTTCCACATTTTGTGTCCAAGATCCTCACTCGCTGAAGAATGTTGTTTGGGTATTTTTATTTTTTGACCCAAGAAGGACCCAAGGAAGTCCTTCTGTTGAGGTGGTATATATTGCTGCCTTAATTAGAAGTGCACAGACATCTGGATAAGGGTAAGTCAACCTGCACAACATATTATAACTAACAACCAGTCATACTGCGAATTGTGTGCAAAAATACTTTATTTAAGGCAAAGAGGTTCTCAATTAAGCAACTTCTCTTCCTTTGTTTGCCAGACAAATAACAAAATAAAAAATAAGACATTAAAGGCTCTATTACCAGAGAGCATACACTAAGGATTTCCCCACAGATGCTGAAGCCCATTGGTAAATTACTCTTGAAAAACTCCACAGCCAAAACCTCTATCACAAACTTCATTTTTGTCTTCTTTGCTGCTCTCCACAGCAGTAGAATATCAGGAAACAGCAGACAAGGTTCCTGTAGCTCAGGGATGGAGATTTTAACCAGGTAGGAAGCTCTCACTGCTGAAAACCTGGCCTCAATCAAGATGGTGGTGAATGTATCGCATGCCTCCTGAACCCTTCCCCCCACTTCCTACATACTCAGGAAGAGAAGTGTAACTGGGGTGGGCTGGGATGAGGTCACCCCACATCTGGCTTTCCCATTGTGTCATGTCTTCAGCCCTTAAGATTCTAAGCATAGCAGGCCAGGGACGGCTTTTTGTATTGTATGGTGCTGAACTTCAGTTGGTATTAAAACAATTATAATAGGCAGGAGGGTTTAGCCAAGCAGAAGGAGCTTCTGCAGTGGCTCCTATTATTGACTTCTCCAGGCAGCACTGAAGGCACTAATACCCCTCCTCTCTGCAGAGCATTGTACTCTGAAGTAGAAAGTAAATCCTGCCAGATTCATTCCAGAGGATGTTCCAGGGAGTAGCCTTCCTGCCCCTGCAGTTTTAGACACTGCTGCTCCCCACCTCTCTAGACATCAGCGTAGCACCGTTTCTAAGGCCACTGATAGACTACAGTATTCCTTGTCTAGTCCCAGTTGGTCACACCCCCAGTCTGGTCCCACCCCTTAGTCCTTGTCTGGTCCCACCCCCATTAATGCTCTATACCTGCCCCATCCCACATTTCATCTGTAAATAGATGAAATCTCTAATTACAGAAAGAGCAGTCAGGTGGATAACACTGTGTTGTGGAATGAATCCAGAGCTTGTCTGGCCAAAGCATTTTCCTGCATCATGACGTTTGACTTCACGCCTGTTTCAGTAGGTCTGATGGAAGTATGAGGAACTCGCACAAAGGCCTGGCATCCTAAAGAGCATGTCTGACTCTCAAACTGAATGTGAAGTTCCTAAGATAACCTGGAAATAGGGAGTTATCTTGACTCTTCCAGATATCTTCTTCCTTGTAGTCAAGAAAAGACTGTCACAGATTGGGGTCAACCTGATGTTCTCAAACAAGCAAAGAATGTTCTAACCTTTCATGGTCTATGGAATCCATATGTTCAAATGATCAGCATCTACAAAGATAAGGACTATATAAAAACCCTCCTTCCAAGCAACTGAACAAATTGCAAGCTGGAGACCATATTTTATCATGCCTGATTAATAATATTAGCTCATGTTTCCTTAAGAGGGACAAAAATAATCATCACCTATGCCCTTTTTGGTTGGTTCCTTTGCCATTGATGCTTTAGAAAAATGATGAATCTGGTAATAGCCTTGTTTAGATTTAGAAGTTTACATTTTATTTCCTACAAGCACAGTGTTCTGATCAGAAGTCAAGAAGAGAACATTGTATAGGAAAATATCTAACGAATAGCTTTCCTTTTATAACATGGGATTCTTGAAAGAATATGGCCAAATTCTTTCTGGAACCAACACGGAGGATAGAGTTCCTATTTACAATAACATACACTTCAGCTTAATTATGTCTCCTTCATTGACTTTTGGGAAATTTAGGATTGTCTTTTCCTAGGCACATAAGGGCATGTCTACACAGCCATGTTATTTTGGAATAACTAATATTATTCCAAAATAACACAGAGCATGTCTACACTGCAAGTCATTATTTTGAAATAATGGTGATTTGGAGGACTTCTTACTCCAACTGCTGGTAAATCCTCATTTTACGAAAAGTAAGGGAAGTCAAAGGAAGACTGTTCTTCGACTTCCTGCTGTGTAGACCGTGCCAAAAGCCGAGTTAAAGTACTTTGACTTTAGCTATAAGCTATACAATTGATGCAGCTGAAGTTGTATAGCTTAATTCGACTTTAGCCCTGCTGTGTAGATGTGGCCTGAGAGAATTAGGCACTGGCAGACAAGCTTCCCTTAGTTGCTTTGAAAATCCCAGTCGAAGGCACTAGATATTGTATTTATCCAAAATTTGTCTTTCCAGTGCTCAAATGATAGACTTTTCCATAATTCAGAATTACATGTGTGAAATATTTCTATTAGCGAGAAGCCACGCCTAGAAAGTTTGGTTATAATGCTTTTTTTCAGGGGATCCTCCTGCTCAGATGCTTATTCATGTCTCTCTTCAGCTAGTGCACATAATGAAGGTAGCAAATACTAGCTCTTCCAGTACCAGGTTTTTCTG